CTTCTATAACGTGTATTTTATTATTTTTATCCTTTTGGACTCTAAATTGTTTTTTCTAAACTTTTATTTAAAAAACCTGTCCTAAATCTTAATAAAATATAAAAAGTTTAAATACGATATATTTTTTAATTTAATTATAGCTTCATTAAAATAAAAAAATACCCGGCTATGATACGGAGAGTTCAGGTGTACTTGAGAAACGAAAGACAGTGTTGTGTTTCTCGGCAGAGTCGTCAGGGAACGACCGTTACGACAGAGATAACCTATCTATCGCTCGTGTCGCACTCGTTATAACCTAAAACAATAACACAACAATAACAAGACAGTGTCTGACCGCATGTTCCAGCTATTTATGAATGAGATGCTCAGTCTATATTTTATTTTAAGTCTATGATATGACTCCTATTTGTAGGGGGCACCACCTACATGTAGTTTAACTGTTGAGAAGAGTAATAACTTTTTATCCGTACCTGTATAAAACTACTGAGTGAAAAAATATACATTTACGTATTTTTTTTTACGTAAGAAATGTCTCTTGGTAAAAATCGCTACGAGCAACCGTTCTCAAGATATTTAGAATGGGAACAGTCAATACATGTCATTATATTGACAAAAAATAAACGTATTTTGTAGATAGTTATTTAATTAAAATGATAAATTTGGCAACTTTTTATTTTTTTAAATTAATCATAAATTTTTCTTCAAAAAATGATGATAAAACAGTTTCTGTTGCACTTTTGGCACCAAAACATTTGAAATTTATGATTTCAGTTATAAAAATTTTCAGTCAAATATCTCGAGAACCCTTACTCGTAGCGATTTTTCCTAGAGACCTTTTTTACGTAAAAAACATCGTAAATGAACATTTTTTATTCAGTAGTTTTATACAGATACGGATGAAAAGTTATTATTCTTCAAACCAGTAAAAAATATGTGGGTGACGTCCTCTACAACTAAGAGTCATATTGACCCTGTATGTCCGAAACTAGGTATTTTAGGACATACATTTATACGAACTTTTTTAGTTATTTTTATCTGCAGAATATGCTGCTGAAGTTTCCGGAATACAGTTCGGACCACCCTGTATAAAAAGTAAATTATTGAATATTCATAAACAAGGATTATTTTTTCTTGAAAAAAAGTCTGACTATTTCGCCAACTAAACGGTAATCTAAAAAAAATTGTTACCATCCGTCGCCAATATGAGCACCATAAAAAATATACAAAAGGACTTTGTATATGATATAATTTTTTTAAGTAGAAATAAATAATCGTGGATATTGGGAAGGCTTAAATGAAACATCATGAGCCTTCTAGACGGAGAGCTAGCTACATAAAAAACTTTAATATCGTTACATGGCTGCTTTTTTGTGTGATATATCCTTTTGTGTAGCCATTGTGAAATAGCCATGTCTGCCAGCGCGATCCCGAGGCTTAAAGCGGGGGCGGCCAATCGAAAGGGTGAAATTTTGACACTAAAAATACGGGTACACGAGTTATAATTGCCAAATGGCTTTTATTTATTATTAAGAAACGTGTAAAATTGTTAACAGACATTTTTCTCGTGGGTGAAATGCCGACATACATCGCGAAAGAGGCATAGAATTTTGACAAAAAAAAATCATCGCATACATGAATGTCGATTGGTGGAATGTCACGTTTATTGTTGATTAATTTAAAAAGCCGTATGCAAAAGGACAGACAAAAAAATCGTTATTGAAATAATAATAAAAAATATTTATAATATAATCGTATATCTGATTTAACTATACTTAAATGGACGAAGCGGCGAGCGTTCCCTGAATGCGCTAGAGTAATATCGCGCTTTTAATAACTGTCTGCAGCTGATTTAGTCACGATCTTTTTGTGTGCCCTTTTGCATACAGCTTTTAAAATAAATAAATATATGACATTTCACCAATCGGCATGCAAATATGTCATATTTTGTTTCATTCTTCAAATTTCATTTTTTAATAATTTTTAAAATTTCATGCCTCTTTCGTGTTGTCTGTCGGCATTTTAGCGACTAGAAAAATGTTTGCCAACAATTTTCCACGTTTCTTAATAATAAATAAAAGCTGTTTTTGTAATTATAACTCGTGTATCTTATAATATTTTTAGTGTAAAAATTTTACCCTTTGGATTGGCCGCCCCCGCTTTAAGCCCCGGGATCGCGCTGGTAGACATGACTATTTCATAATGGCTACACAAAAGGATACTTCACACAAAAAATAGCCATGTAACGATGATAAGGTTTTTTATGTAGCCAGCTCTTAGACTATTCCTAATACCCAGGATGTTTTATTTCTACATAATAATTACTGGAAGCAGTATAATAATCATATTTTTTTAAGTAGTCATTATATTTTGAAGTAGTTTAATATATTTAAACGGAAATATTTTATATTTAAACTACCTAAAAAAGTAAACTTAAATAATAATTAACCAGAGCAATAAAATAATAGCACCTATAAAGCAAATTATCGATGGATATTACCAGTAAAGCCTGAGATATCGCTTTAAAAGTAAGTATCTGAACCATTTAGATACATTTCGATCACATTAGATGCAGGGAAATTGCGCATCTAAGCAATTTTCTTGCGTTATAGTTTTCCTTTATGGCCGCTTCGATAGGAAATCGGCGCATCGTTTTGAGAAAATGGAGAGAATAGGAACGTTTTTCGTAAAAATTAAGAATATGCATTTACATAATAAAATATGAAAATACATAATCTTCAGAAAAATTTCATCACAGTGGCACTATTGAAGAAAAGGGATATGCAGATATTTTAAATGGATAGATATGTAATAATATCTTCTATTTTCATTGTAAGAATTTTAAAGAAAAGACGATATACAAAAATTGGTGTAAAACTTTAGAAAACAATAATATACAAATGTTCAGCAACTTTACAGTAAATAGATAAAACCGAGGATAAAACTAAATACGAGTTTAAGAAGGATACAGTGGTGGTTAGAACTTTGCACAATAACTGAAGCTTTTAATCATCTGCTGATTATGCTAACATGTCTGGCTATAGTGATGAGCGGGTCTGGTCTGGTCTGGTCAAACTCTGCACAAATAGCAAGACCAAGACTAGTATTTGATCTGCAAGACCAAAACTAGACCGACCAAGTAATACCTTCCTTAACATCAAGACCATTTAAGACCAAGACAAATCATGCATGACTCTTACGGTCTTGCGGATTTGCATTTTTTTCATGTTTATATGTTGTAAGAAATTACCTACTTATTTGTTCAGAATTATTGTTTTAATTTATTATAAATAGTATTTTCCCTACTGTTGCAAAATGTCTGAAAGAAAGAAATACTGATATACAGGGTGCTTCTCAAAAGTGGCTCACCCCTATAACTTTTTTTATTTTTTTCAGATAATAAAACGAAATTTAGTATCTTAGTATATGACGGATTGATTTACGTATTCAATCGTTTTTCGTTAGTTCCTGTTCGTCGTCGTCTAAGTCCGTACGTCGCGTACGACGTGTAGTGGTTCTGTTCCTGGCCCTGACAGCCGCCCGCACCGCCCGTCTCCAATTTTCTCTGTTTTCTGTTCTGCACCCTCCAGGTTGGTATTCATAAGTTTTTCAACCATGTCCACCCACCTGGTTGGCGATCTTCCTCGGCGACGGGATCCTGCAGGTCTTCCCTGCACTACAAGTCTCTCCATATGCCCGCTCCTGTTGACGTGACCGAAGAAGGAAAGGATGCGTTTATAGACAGTGCTGGAAAGTCTTTATGGTAATTGTATTGCATTAAGGACCGACACATTGATGCGATGTGCTGTCCATGGTATTTGCAACATCCTCCTCCAGCACCACATCTCGAAGGCGTCAATGCGTCGTCTGTCGGCTGCCAACAATGTCCATGTCTCAGAAGCATAAAGCATAACCGGAAAGACAAGACTATTTACAAGATTGATTTTTGTCGATTGTGTTATGTGAATGTTCGACCAAACTTTCGTGAGCTGCGTCATAGCGTTACGGCCCAATTGAATTCTGCAGCGTATTTCCATTTCGCAACTACCGGTATTAGATATAAGTGCACCTAAATAAATAAATTGTTGCACAAGTTCGCAGCGATCTATGTTTGTGATGTCTGGGTAGTTGTTGTTTTCGCGATCTACGATCATCACCTTAGTCTTTCTGTAATTGATGCGAAGGTCGAACTCTCTACTGGTAGTTTCCAATCTTGCTAGAATTGTCCTCAGTTCCAGATGATTTGCGGTTACCAATACGGTGTCATCGGCAAAACGTAGGTTTGATATCTTGTATCCATTCAATGATACACCCCCTGTCCATTCCTCTAGCACAATCCTCATAATGTATTCGCTGTAAATGTTAAACAGGATCGGAGACAACACGCAACCCTGACGTACTCCTTTCCTTAATTGACAAATATCGGAAATACTTCCATCCAACTTCACGACTGCTTGGTTGCTATCGTATAGACCTTTTATTATCTCTACAAGATGTTGTGGTACTCCCATTTTAGACATTATACTCCATAACTGTCCCCAACATACGTTATCGAAGGCCTTTTCGTAATCCACAAAGCATTAATACATGGGCGTGTAGTATTCTCGAGATTTTTCTATTAGCTGGCGAAGGTTTAGTATTTGCTCTCGAGTTCGTCTCTCCTTCACAAAGCCGGCTTGTTCGGGTGCAAGTTGCAAAGTTACGTAGTTGATAGCCTTTGCTTGAGTATGTATAGCATAATTTTGCTGCCATGAGAGAGTAGTGCAAAGAGTCTGTAATTATTGCAATCTTTTGTGGAGCCTTTTTTGTGTAGCGGGATGATTACGGAAGTGTACCAGTCACTTGGCCAATGTCCTGTGTGCCAAATAGTTTGACAAAGTTCGTGTAGTAATCTTACACCAGTGGGACCCATACTGGTTATATATTCTGTTGTTATTTTGTCGATACCTGGAGATTTTTGTAGGCCGATATTTCGAATAGCTGCTTCTACTTCAGAAAGTAGGATGCCTGGTTCTGGTTCTTCTGTAATCGTGTTTTGGACGGCTGGTATATAGGTCGCGTCAGTATACAATTCTTCGCAGTATTTCCTTCATATCTCGATTATTTTTTCAATTTCTGTCAAAAGCTGGGTGTCAGCATCGTGAATTGCCCATGTTATTGGAGCAAACTTACGCGTAATTTGCTTTATTTTGGAGAACAAATATCTTGTCTCTAAGGTGTTTGCATGTGTTTGTATTTCGGAACAAATGTTGTTATAAAAATTATTTTTATCTCTGCGACATTCTCTTTGAATAGCTCTAGAAAGGAGGTTAAAGGATTCGGAGTCCTCATAATTTATTAGACCTTTTGTTTTCAGTTTGCATCTTTCTTCGATAAGTAGTAAGGTACCTTCTGAGATCCAATGTTGTTTGTTGCGTGTTGTCTTTGGTTGGGTTTTGTTTATGATATCTTGCGTTATGTTTTTAAAATTATCCCACATTTCTGTAGAGGTTTGTATGTTGCTACTAACTTACGCTAGTACTTCCTATTACAACGGAATTTTTAAAAATTGTAGTAATTCAACTTTTGATTTTTAAATGGCACCCTCGGTATATTTCTACTTTATTGGATGGAAATGACACACTGAATAGGATGACATATAATATATCAACTTTTGACATGCTTGCATATGGTTTATTTGAAATTTTGAGATTCATAACGACAATTTGACTCGAAATACAAAGTGTGTGGTACCAAATTATTTGTAAAAAAATGCCTTGTTCCATTAGAAAAAATTAAGATATAATAATTAGAAATACGATTTGGGCATCTTTTAACTGTCCACGACAAGACACTAAAAATATTATACTATCAAAACCAAGCAAATTTCTTAAATTTTTGTTTAAAAAACTTTAAACTTAACTAACACAATTTTTTTGAAGAAAAAAACAGTAGGTAACTCCCTCTTTATGGTTAGTCTTCATACTCGAATTTCAATTGAAATAAAATATGGGTATACAGGGTGCTACAAATTCGAGGTACGAGTATTTGTATCTCGGTAACCGTAATAGATACGAACACGGTTAAATTGGGGCAAAGTTGCACTTTGGGATGTTCACCAAGATATCATCAAAAAAGTTTTAAAAATTTCAAGGATTGCTCAGTTTTTTGAAAAAACGGATTTTTTTGAAAATAAATTTTATTTTTTCCTGTTGTTACTTTTAAGAAAATCAAAAAAACTAATTGCACATTCTCATAGCCACTTTATTAGGGATATCTGATAGTATTTTTAGATTTTCAAATTAGCTGATACAGAGGCCAACTTATTTTTTCTTAAATATGGACCTGCATTTTTTATTTCCGGTTTTGAAAGAACTCGGTCTCCTGAGAACAATGATATGCCACACTTTATACTTTTTTGTTTTGAATACCTTAACAACAACAAAACTATTTAATTATTATTTAAAATAACAACAAAATTTGTAACAACATCAAAATCAGTCAAAGTCGCAGTTTTTGAGATAATTGATTATTAACATATTTTAGTATGGGCGGCTATACGTGCCTCCCAGCGCCAATTTTTTTCAAAAACCTCAGCAATCCTTGAAATTTTTAAAACTTTTTTGATGGCATCTTGGTGAACATCCCAAAGCGCAACTTTGCCCCAATTTAACCATGTTCGTATCTATTATGGTTGCCAAAATACCAATGCTCGTACCACGAATTTGTAGCACCCTGTATACGGGGCCTGGGTCGATTGTATTTGTAGAAAATAATTTAAAAAATATAGCATTTATATTTTCCTCGTAGGATTTCTGAAACGCAAGGCGAAGGTCCAATGTGATAGAAACATAAACGACTGTACCCCGGATTGTAGTAATGAGTTGTCCGATACATTATTAAAAAATACGGAAAGTAGTGATGACAGCACTGATAGCAGGATTAACGACAACGAGGAGAGTATTAAAGTTATTAACAAAAATGAGGAAAACATGGTCGATGGTGAGTACCAACTGATATTAAAGATTTTTAAAATAATACCTTTTTCAACAGTTTAACTATAGTATTTGATTTTCAACCAATTAATTTCAACCCTGTTTTGCTTTTTAGATCTGAAATTAAGCCTAGTTTCCGCTTCAACATCTACCGACAATGCTGATATAGAATTTCCAAGCGATCCGTTTTTATTTAAGGATACAATTTTAAATCCCGAAAAAATTCGAGAAATGATTTCTATAGGCGCTTGTCAGCCGGGTTTAAATGACAATTTTAATTTTCCGGTTGATTCGCATAATCGGCGGTTTAAGCCAAATTGGTATAAATCAGAGGGAAAGTTGAGGAACTGGCTTATTTATTCTCCAAGGGCTAACTGCCTATTTTGTTTTTCCTGTTGGCTTTATGCATCATTAAATTTGACAGTATGGTCGGACCCCAATCAAGGTTTCAAGAACTTTAAAAAAGGACCGGAAAAAATTAAGCAACACGAGGAAAGTCAGTTGCATCGATCCCTACACAACAAGTTTTTAATAACCAAACTTCGGCTTTATACTACCATTATTCAAGAGCAATGGAATTTTGAAAAAAAAAGGAAATTGAAAGAAATAGAGATGCCCTAAAACGTTTAATTGACATAGTATTATTTTTGGCCAAGCAGTGTTTACCTTTAAGGTACGAATCATGACGAATTCATGACGAATCCATCACAAGTAAAAACAAGGGCAATTTCTTAGAACTTGTTAAGATTTTTAAGAAATATGATTCGTTATTAGCAAATCACTTGGCGAATTCCTCTGTCGTGGCCAAATATACAAGTAATATTATTCAAAACGAGATTCTGGCACATTTATCTGAAGCAGTGATGAAAAAAATCACAGTAGAAATTCAAGAAGCTGTTTTCTTTTCTATTATTATAGATTCAACGCTCGACTTTAACAAAAAGGAGCAAATGTCCTTATCGTTTCGTTTTGTCAATAAACTTGGTGTGCCTGTAGAGAGATTCCTGAAATTTATTAATATTTCTGACGGTTCAGCAGAAACTTATTTTAAAACCATAACTGAAGAAATTAAGAACTTAAACTTAGATATTAAATTATGCAGAGGCCAGGGATATGACGGAGCTAGTGTAATGTCAGGGCACTTAAACGGTCTCCAAGCTAAAATAAAAAATATTGTCCCTGAGGCTATATATATTCACTGCTGTGCTCATAATTTGAATCTAGTTCTAGTAGACGCTGTAAACGCTGTTACAGAAGTAAAACTATTTTTTGGGGTGTGGGAGAAAACATACGTCTTTATTTCCGAAAGCTTTCCACGAACTAACTTGTTTAAAAATATTCAAGAGCTTCGTTCCAGCGAACTGGAAAATAAATTAACTTTGAAAAGGCTTTCAACTACAAGATGGGCAAGTCACAATAGAGCAGTTGATTCTTTTTTTGTAAATATTTCTATAATCGAAGAAACTTGTGAAAAAATTGTTTCGGGTGAAATAAGAAATTCTACTGCTCAACAGACAGCAGAAGCACAAGGCATATTAGTCATGATACAGACCTTTGAATTTAAATTTCTTCTTTGCTTCTGGAAAGAAGTGCTGAATAAAATTAATATATTATCCAATCACTTGTAAAAGGTTAATATCAACTTATGTACAGCTGCTCATATGATTACTGCGATAACTAAAGATCTCAGATCATTGAGAAGTGAAAAATATTTTGAAAATTTTAAAAAACAGGCTACTATTTTGGCAAATAAATGCAATACGACAACATCATTTTCTACAAAAAGACAAAAAAGAATAAAAAAATTTCATGATGAAATCCAGAATGATTACCTACATCAAAATTCTGAAGATAATTTCAAGATATCAGTGTTTTATGGTACTTTAGACATTTTAACTGATACTCTAGAGAATCGGTTTGAAGACTTCCTTAATATATGCCAAAAATTTAATTGTTTATTGGATATGGACGTCAATGATGACAATTTAAAATGTCTTATGGATTTACAGATATTGTACCAAGCGGATGTTAAACCTTCTTTAGTTGAGGAATATAAACATTTTTGCAGTTTATTAGAAGAAATTAATGCTGATGACAACAAACTTGCACCTGACGAATATTTATCATTTTTAATTTCCAATGGCCCTTTTTTATACTATAGCCACCAACAGTGCTGGTGCAGAACGACCTTTCAGTAGATTAGGAAGAATTAATAATTACCAGAGATGCACCAGCACACAAGATAGAACCAATTATTTATCACTTCTCAGTATTGAAGCAGACACAGCCCAGGATCTAAATATAGACGAAATAATTGATTCTTTCAAGTCGGTTAAAACAAGACGGTTGCATCTTTGAAATAACTGTTTTGTATACTAACTTTTTTAATAAACAAATTTATAATTAAAAAAAAATTAAAGGTTTCATGTAGTCTCATTATTTAAAAAAAAAATCATTGCGCCCCTTAAGGTCTTCGCCCCCTCCGCCCTTTTATCCACGACACGCTACTGCATGGGAACAAGTTCAATCGTCGTTGATCTCAGTAATGTGAAACTGTCACATCCAAACTCTGTAAATTAAAATAAACAAATAATGTAAATATGAATTTTTCAAATGAAGAAAAGCGTGTAGGATTATTGGTTCAACTTATCTTGGCCATACATTTTTGAGGATACGTTGACCGGTCAACTTACTTACGTTTTTTAGAAAAGTTAATTTTAGATACTCGCGCATCAATAGAGTGGTTCCAACATGTGGTGGAACCACTGCATGGTGTGGACCAATTGCATGGTCCTCCTCGATCACCTGACCTATCCATTTTAGAATTTTTTATGCGGTATGGTTAACAACAAGGTTTACAAAAGAACTTATGAATTAAGAGAGGCACTCGAAGAGGCAGAGCGGGAGAAGTCTATTAAATGCAACCGGGCCGTTCTGTGGGAAAAGCTTGTAATTCGGTTTTAAAAAGATGTATTTTAAGTATGTACTCAAAACAATGGCGGTTTTTTTTGAACATTTGCTAAAATAACTTAAAGTGTATGTAGTGATATTAGTTTTAGTTTGTGTAATGTAAATTGTAAAGAACCGTTTAATAAAATATTCTGTCTTTATAAGTTATAAATCAAAGCAAAATAAAAATACCATGCCAACTAAGTGAAATTAGTTAAGAAAGATAAGAATTGGCTAAAACGCAGTAATTTTCGAAAAAAAAAACGTATTATAGCTTATATCGCTGAAAAGCTTAAAATATGGCGCTGTTTATGAAGACATTGCCAACTATGGTTTCCGTTTAAAAAATTATATGTTTGTGTCATATGTTAAAAATGACAGGCTTTAGAAAAAATTAGAGTACACAAACTCATTAGGGATGTGATTACTTACAACTTTTATCTGAAAACTTTTTGTCTAAAATAAATAAATTATAATGGAATAGGGACAATTTTTAAAATAGCCGAAATTTGTTTTTTTCGAAATATCTAGTAAGCCAGGAACTTTTTCAAAAATCTGAAAGGCGCATATTTATGACTCCACAAAACTGCAATTCTTTCCTCATTTAACCAACTCTCTATCTCCAATAGTTTCCGAGATACTCATAGAGAACATCGTAGAAAACTCACCATGTATATAAATAACTTCTAAGAATTTTCAAATAAATTAATTTCTGATTAGCTGAAATATCGATTAATGTTATAGCACTGCTTTGACGAGGAAACGCTCGTAATATAATTCGTTCCAGGTACCTTAATCAAATCGTGGCCATTTCATCGCACGCAATTAAAACATATTCTAGCAAACGTTCCATGGGGATACAGAATCGTGTTGGCAGTGCAAAACGTAACCGTGTCCGAGGTTACGGCAACTTCTCAAAGGGAAATTCCGATTCGAATCGTGGAAACGGTCGCTTATTCCCTCGTGGATTTCGTTTACCATGGATGCCAGATCTCAGAATATACCGGGTGACTACAAAACTATTACACAAAAAAACGCTCTTATATATACATAAAAGTTTTATGTCAACCTTTAGTAAATGCCGTCTAGAGTATGACCTCGCCAAAATTATCATCCATTGTCATTCTCCAGCCGTCTTTGACGCCGTTTTTTTTATCATACGCTATAATTTCATCAAAGATTCTGGATTTTTTCGAGAAAAAACATACTGTTTTTTTAAATTATGCTGTTGATAATATATGACACGTTGAGAAAAATATCAAAATAATATACATGAAAAAAATATTTCTGAATTGAGCCTCAAACTTCGATATACATACACTCACCGGCACGAAAAACGAGCACCTCAAAATTTTAATGTATTGAGGCTTGAGCCCCCTAAAAATCGGTGTCTAGTTGCGCCCCTGTTTTTAAGCAATTTGCAGCTAAATTATGTGACTTTTTAGTATCTTATTCTAAATTAAAAATGAAATTTTCCATCTGTCAATTATACGATGTAAAACCAAATGTTGATATTTTGGTGAAAGTTTGAAAAACCCTGTGGATTATGTAAACAAACCAAATAAGGAATTTAAAAACCATTTTTTCATCTGGGTACGTCTTTTCACAATAGTTTGTTTTTTTAATTCATCTCAGTAGCTTTATTTTTATTGGAGATATTCGCTTTTGAACAAGACAGTAACGATTTACAGCAATTTTAGCACTAATTTTGGGTTCTCATCAACACGCTTATCAAATAGTTTTTATTGTGTAATGTCACTATCATTGGAAAGTCATGATTGCAAGTTGACATTCCATAAATCATAAACACTATGTTATACCTCTGTAAACTAGGACCAAAAGCAAAGGCATGGTTTTAATGTAAAAAACACGAAAACATGTTATAGTGTCTTATAGTCTTCAAAAGCGAATATCTCCAAAAAAATAAAGCTGTTTAGATGAATCAAAAAACAAACTATCGAGAAAAGATACACCTAGATGATAAAATTATTTTTAAATTTCTTGTTTTGTTAACGTATTCCACAGGGTGTTTCAAACTTTTACAAAAATTTTCGGAAACTCACAGGTGGAAACTTTCATTTTTAATTTAGAAAGAGATACTAAAAAGTAAAATAATTTAGATTTTAAATTACTTAAAAAATCATCACAATTATTGGTCTACTAGAACACAATATACAAAACTTTAAAATACATGAAAATTTTAAGGTGCCAGTTTTTCATGCGGCGAGTATAATAGGCCATAGAAAAATATAATAAAATAGTTAGTTTTATTGTTACTTATTATATTACAAAAAATATATAAAAAAAATAATTAAAATATTTTATTGGGACCAGTTATTACATAGCTATATTAAATTATTTTTTATTTCTTTGAATATGTGAGAAATAAAATTTCTACATCTGGAGGTATGTATATATACCTCTGGAAACAATCTGGCAGCGGTGTCTCCACTCTGTCACCTGATAAAACAATGGTCCTCTGCAGGTTATTCCCGACGACTTTCCACTAAATTACATGGAAAAACGGCTCCATGGCGCTGCAAAGGACCGAATTCCGAACGGATATAAATGCTTCTCGCCGAACACCTACCTATTACCATATTTTACTATGCAAAGACCAGGATTCTTTTGCAACGGCGACGTATTGTTAATTTTTGAAAGAAATTTCCGTC